GGCTTTAACTGTTATATATATTCCTCTCTTCCTTCCGACCCTCCTTCCTTCCTTTTTTCCTCCCTTCCTCCCATTTTTTCCTTCCTTCTTCTTTCCTTCCTCCCTCTCTCCCTTCCCCTCCTCCTTCTCTCCCTCCTTTCCTCCCTTCCTTCAGCCCTCCATCCCTCTCTTCCTTCTTTCCTTCCTTCCTTTTATCTTTCCTTCCTTCCTTTTTCCTTTCTCTCCATCCCTCCTTCTTCTCTTCCTTCCTTCCACAAACATTTGTTTAGCTTCTCCTATGTATCAGATACATTACTATGTGTTAGGATACAAATATAAATAAAATGTGAGCCCAGATCTAAAGAAGATAAATGTTATAAGTAATATGTAGAAAAAAATGACGAGTACTGTAGAAATAAATCTTGTTGGAAATTATAGTTGAGAAAATCATTTCAAGAAGAGGGAGTAGCTTTGTGATGGTCTGAGGGCAATAGAGCACATGGCTTATTCTGGGAGCTGTAGGAGCAGAATGGCTTTATCATAGGATGGAAGTCGTAATAGAAGACATGGAGATTCAAACAGAGCCAAATCTGGAAAGACTTTGAAATTCGAAGGGCTTTAGGCCTCATTCAGAAGACTTGGGATGTTTTGTGTGGTTGGCATGAAAAGGTTAAAGAAAAATGTGACATGATTAGATTTATGTTTCAGAAAGACTATTCAAACAATAGGATTGGAGGATAGAATAGAGTGGATGAAGACTAGTGTCTGGGAAAGAAGACTTTTGCAAGTAACTAATCTTAACAAGATGAAGATCTGAACTAATGTTGAGAACTAATTGGTTTCACACTTTCTGATGCGAGCAACTGGGTGGAAAATGTTGCCATTTATGAGAAAGGACTTGCAGACGGGAGAGCTATTCTAAGAAGAATAGAGAGTGGGCATGTGTGGAGGAGGCGTGAGCTGTTATTTTAGATACGTTGAATTTGAGATACCTGGGGAGTATCCTAGCACAGATGTTAAGAAGTTTTAGATGTACAGACCAGGAGAGCTGCCCATCCTCTGAAAACCTGTTCAAATACTTCTTTTGACTCCCTTCTTCCTTTGCTCTTTATTTCCTAAAACAAACTCTTCTACTTCTGAATTTTTCAGATCTTTACTTCTCATACGTTATTGCACTTTTCACGTACTTTTATTTACTTTTGCTATTTTCAGTTCTGTTAGTTTGTAAACTTATGCTTGAGAGCACAGAATGTGTCATATATATAATTTGGTTTAAATAGCATACTAACTTACACATAGTTTATGTATAATAAATATTTTTTAAATTAATGAATAAGATATTGACAAATTGGAATCTATTTTTCCTTCCTGCAGTCCACAGAAATGCCCATCATTATGTAAAAATGCAATAATAATTATCTTTTATTGAAAGCATATTATTTACCAATCTTTCTTCTAGATTCTTTATGATATGCCAACCAACATACCTATCATGTATTATTGAAATTTTACAGAAAAAACTGAATTTTAGATTAAAAATTTTTCTCAAGGTTACCCAACCAGTAAGTGGCACAGTTAGGAATTGAACCAAGGTCTTTCTGCAAAGCGAAAGTGCTATCCACTATTCTAGCATTTTAACTAAGCTAGCCTGTGGTTCATATTACATTAAATGGCCAAATTTATTAGTGTTTAATGCCTAGATAAGTCTAATGCTTTAAGTTTAAACTTAAAAATTTATTCCTATTTTTCTAGAGAATTGTATTAGTTTTTTTCATTTTTTCATTGTTTAATTACAAAAGCATTACATGGCTATTATACAGTAATTTAAAGAATTCAGAAGTTAATAAAGTCAAATTTCATTCACTAAAGACAACCACTTTTAATAACCTCATTTGTATAAAAAAAGACTTTCTCTGTGTATACATTCACATATTCATACAGTTAAAATTGTTTTCTGTAAATAAGGAAATGTATAATACTACACTGTATGTTTCTTTCTTTCACGTTACAACATGTTGTGTCTCTCTATGTCAAGACATACTGATCCACTTAGTTTTTTGTAAGGACAAAATAGGATTCCATTTTATGGATGTACTACAGTCTATTGTTTATTTAGGTTATTCTTATTATTTTAATAATATAAACAATGATACATCATAAAAGAATAAATTTGTAGGGAAAGAATTACTGAGTCTTCCTTCAAGAGTTTAGTATCTTTACATGCAATGCTTAAAATTATAAGTTGTTTTTCTTTTCTGTATATTGTGTCTTTTCCTGCTTTTCAATTGAATTGTTCAATTTTTTCAGCATTTCTTTTCTTTCCTTCAGATATAGTGATTACAGCACAAAAACATTGGATTTCCCCTTTATGGAATTCCTAGTGCGTGAGCACATAACAGGTTTTAGAAATTGACTCCTTCTATCCTGAAATTTGTGCTTTATCATTCCCATTATAGTTTTACTACGTGTTTGCACCCCTAATAAACATTCCTAAAGTTTTGCGAGTTTTTCATTTATGTAAGTGAAATTTTTCTGTATGTGTTCAAAGGACAGATTGTTTCCTACCAGCAACATGTGAGTCCCTGTTGCACTCCATTCTCACCCATACTTGGTAGAGTCAGGAATTTTTGATTTTTTGCTTTGGGTCTTGGTGTCTTTTCACATCTTAGTCTCTTAGTTTATTGTTTTAAGGAGATCGGTACTATTTTGTTCCACAGAATTTCAATATTGTATTTGAAAATGGCTTACATACATTCCTCCTTTTGCTCTTTTTTCCTTTTTTTCTATTCCCTTTCTCTTCCCTCCCTTCTCCTGTTTTCATCCTTCCTCTTTTCTCCTTGAGGGGCAGTGATGGTTAAGAACCCAGCCTCTGGAGCCAGGCTACCTAGAATCAAGTCTGAGCTCTGACACATACTAATATGTGACCTTGGGCATATTGCCATACTTCTCTCTGCCTCAGTATCTTCCTCTGTCAAATGGGCATATAATTATCTACTTCATAGAGATGTTGAAAGGATTATGTGGGAGTTAATTCACTGGTGTAAAATGCTAGAACAGTGCCTGGCACAAAAAGTACTAATTTGTTTAAGATATTCTTCTCTCCATTTCTTTCAACAGGTTCTTTCAAATATCTGCCTGTCTTTTACCCATAATCATCCAGGATTCAAGTTACTAAGAGCTAGGGAGCACCTCAGCAACTCGGACATCCTAAAGGAGGGAGAGATTTCAATGTTGCAAGTGGGTCTAGTGAGGGAAGACTGTGAGTGGCATTCCTCACAGGGATTAAATATACCAGGAGGCATGTTTTTCCCCCAGGGCAAGCCGATTTACTAAGACCAACGTTGAGTCTTAGAAATAACATCAGTTATCTCTCTGGAGCCACTGGGAATGCAGTGTGGGACAAATAGATAAGATTAAGGCCTTTCAGATTTTAAAGTGTAGTGGAGAGACCATCATTAAACAAGCGTTAAATATGATCATGTTAAATATTATGAAGAGCTACGAGGGTGTATAACGAAGAGGCATAATGAGGTCCAGGGAGTCAGGGAGGGGAGGAAAAAACTTTAAGCTGTTCTCTCTCCCACGATGAGTACAATAACAAAAGCCAAGAATACAGTTCATATGTCTCTGCTATCTTTTGGTACATGCAGTATAAGCATAGAACAATAATGAAACTTTCTTTTCTTCTACTCCCGATTGTCGAGAGTGATCTCACACACTTAGTTATTTCTAGCACATTTCCTTGCATTGTATGGTCATCTTATCACCGTCCCTTCCACTCTCAGGTAATACAATGATATTCTCTTGTGTAGTTTTACAGTTTGTTGTACACTTAATACTACGCCTTAGGCAACCTTACTGATTTGTGTGACTTCTCTCCACTTCTCCACATCTTGAGTCACTGATTTTGATGAATATTTTTTCCTCCTCTCTTTGCGTTTGTGGGTCTTTTTCAGCCAGGCTTTCTAAGTAACTCTCTCTCCTGCTTGTCTAAAACTATAGTCTGTCCATTTGTTTCTCCATCTATTCATCACTGACATCTTAATTGCTAATCCTATTTGCTTTCTCTCAGCCAACTTCATAGTATTGTCCAAGAATTTTATTGAGGTATTTTTCTCCATTCTGTTTTCATTCTAATTGTAGTAAATTTAATGAAATCTATACATTTAATCCAACATACAATGACAACAAAAAATAACCTGTCCAAGAAAACACGTTCTGAAGGAAGTTTTAAAAAAAAAGAAAGCAATAAATGACTATCCATTCTTTACTCATTCAGCAAACATAAAGTGCTAATTAGGTGCCAACCAGCAGTCTAGGAGAGAAATGACTCTGTGGTCCACAGTAGTTGCCCTCAGCAATATCACTTTATCAAATGGGGATGGGGAGGAAGAATTGTAATGACGGATAAAATTAAGATGGAGATCTCTCTTTACTAAGCCTTTTCTTGCTGTAAGTCAGTAAAATCTAAACGCTGGGTTTCTTATCTCTTTATAAGACTTGTGGCCCTGACCCTCCCTCCTTTAACCGAAATGGACTTTATGAGAATTCTTTTTAGAATAGGCACTCTGTGATGGATTCATTTTACTTAGAGGCAATTCATTTAACTGATGCATCGAGGGATATATGCAAGTATTTTAATTTTGCTTGACATGTGTAGTGGCATTTCAACAGTAAATTCAAATAATTATGTTTTTGAAATAATGATAAAATAGCCCATTGACTTTTTTATTTCCTTAGAAAAATTACTGGCAAATTAATTAGTTGCAAAATAGGTGATTATAAAAATAAAAAAAAGTAAAGCTGTTGAAAGCACGTAGCCTCTCACAGAAAGGTTAATTTTTAAAACTTAGCTCATGATTTCTGAAACGCTTTCTTTATTTAGTATTTTAATTTTATTTAAAATGGCATTTGAATTATGATTATCATTTGGGAAGAAATTAAAGATTAAGCTTAACAGGTTGATTTGCTTTAGAATTATGTTAGTTACTAATGAAATGTTTAAAAAAATTTCTTTTTAGTGTTGTGGATGTATTTAGGAAAAAGGAGAATGATGCAGCTGTTAAAATCCAGAACTGGTTTCGAGGATGTCGAGTTCGGGCATATATCAGGTATATGATTTTGTCATGGAAACCTCAGATATATCATAAAAATGTACTCCTTAGAAAATGTAATTTATTCATGTAGTGCTCATTGCAAATAATCTTTTATTTTACCTGTAATGAAGTTAATAAATTATATCATGTCCTTTTTAAAGATATAACTCTTTTTGGCCATTTTTTCTTACATATCAAAAAACTAAATTATATTGACCATATCTCTACTTTCAAAAATTCTCAGTATCGTAAACATACTTGATCAGATTCTTTTCTTCAAGTGCAATGGGAGGTGACAAATGACTGAAGTGACTGGACTTGTATTTATAGCAATGAATTCATTGCCTGGTAAAAAAAAAAAAAGAAGCTATTCCAATCCTCTCTAACATGTTGGTAGCTAAAGGCGAATGATGCCAGAATGATGCCATTCTGATTACAAAGAGACTGAAGTTGTCTATCTTAACTGTTCCCACTTTTTCTTAAGGGCCCAAACTTTCTGTCAGTCTCTCATCAATTCTGAAAAGTATTGCCCTGGTTAAGGAAGAATGTGCCTAGTCCATAATAAGCCAGATGGCAGGCTGGAGATTATACCGTGTACTTCCTTATATTAGTTAATAGGAGCCAGACATGCAAATAGAAGTGTGAGGATGGGGTTTCCCTTTTGGCCAGGAGCATGGTCTAGGAGCATGGCGGCAAAGAGAGTATTTTTTAATTCAGCACGCTAACATGACGTTAGCTTGGACAGACTGGGTAATATAACAATAAAAAAGCGAAGTGTTTCTGGACCTCAAGAATTATTTCTAAATACTTACAGTGATTCACCTCAATAGGGCCTGGCTTATTTCTCAACATGTCACTATAACCTGTTTTATATTGTTAACGTTCAAAAATATTTCAGAGAATAAGTATTGAGGAGTAATTAAAATTTAAAAAAATATTTGATCGTAAGCCCAAAGAAATACTGAATAGTTGTCTATGCTTTTTTTCTACTTTTAGGAATGATTAATTCTATTGCAGAATGATAACTCTCTACTCTTTAAAAGTACACATAAACTTGGCTTTGAATTTGATTTCTTGAATTGTAGAAAGGTATATTCTAAGAAAAATTTAAGAAATGTTCATGTTTCAATGAATACTAATAAGCGTATTTTTCACCCAGGCATTTACACAGAGCAGCAATAATTGTTCAAAAATGGTGGAGAAGTTACTTAAGCAGGCAACATTATCAACTAGTTGTGAAGGTAAATATTATAAAATGTATATATGTTAGCATTTGAATTATATGATATGCTGTAACTTATTCACTTCAGTCATATTTAAATGTAGTTTTGAAATTACTCATAATAATTATTTATATAAGAACAAAAATGGGGTTAATTTTTAGCATGAGCCCTTTTCTGAGAAACCTTTCCTGATTTTCCCATGGAGAATTGATGACTCATTTCTTTGTACCCACACTACACCAGATATTTTCTTTTTGTTAAAGTACCTTTCACAGTGTATGCATTTATATGTATTTATTTGTTGATTATCATCTCTACTTTCTAGATGGAGAGCTCTGACGGTAGGCACCATAGCTTCTTCATTTTGGACCACCAACATTTAGACCAATCCCTGGCCCATAGCACAGTCAATAAACATTGGCTGAGTTGAAGTGCCCTAAATTAATTCTACAAAATATAAAAATAAGGCAATTTGTCTCTGTGCTACTTAACCATTCTCTATTATTGACTGTTGGGATATTTTGAAGATTTGCCTTAAGAAATGTAGCATACCGCAATCATCTATGTCCACTGAGAGACTTGTAGAAGTGTATGATAGCAGGCCAAATTATACTTTAGTTAGGAATTTTAGGAAATTAAGAAAAAAATAATTTTCTTCATACACAGTGAGAAAGTTGCCAGTCAGTGGTCTACTTCGTTAATTTCCTGACTTGTTACTATTTTCTACTATAATAGTTTAAATTTGTTCTTCATTTATTCTTTTTCTTTTTTTAAAGATTGGCCTTGGGCTAACATCTGTTGCCAATCCTTTTTTTTCCTTCTTCTCCGCGAAGCCCCCTAATATGTCCGCAAAGGACATATTCTAGTTGTATGTCCTTCTAGCTAGTTCTGCTATGTGGGACGCCTCCTCAGCATGGCCTGATGAGCAGTGCTAGGTCCACGCTCAGGATCTGAACCGGTGAAACCCTGGGCTATGGAAGTGGAGCATGCAAACTTAACCACTTGGCCACGGGACTGGCCCCCCTGTTCTTCATTTATTCTTAATGAGTTGCATCTAAGTGAAATTAAAACATATACAGAAGGTAAAGAAAAAAAAATAAGTAGATAACTAATATGAGTTCACCTTTAGTGAGAAAATTTTGCAGCATGTTAATAAAGTATAGAGACTACCTTAAGGAAGAGCTAATATTTTAGATTTAATGAAATAAATAAACTAAAGAATTCCAACAATAATGCTGGCATGATCTCTCTGATAGCTAGGTTTAAAATCACTATGATGTTCTTATAAAGCAGATCTGAGGTCCTGCACAAATTTTTATTATCCAAAGGTAGCCTTGCCTTAATATCATCACCTCCGTTACTATGACTTTTCTTCAATACTACATTGCTCTTCTCCAGAAATTTCTCTGTTTGATTATCTAAAGCATTGATGAAAATGTTATTAACACATTTATGAGCTAAACCTTGGAGAAAGTCACTTAAGTCCCTACAGATGAATCTATTTCGGTGATAACTTCCCCAAATCACATGATTCTCTCGAGTCCAGTTCCGATTCTAATTCTGTATGTTCCCAGCTAATTAAGGCCCCTTAAGATTTTTAAAATCCACCAAAACCAAGGAAAAGTTTATTCTTTTAATTTAACTGGCTAAGCAAGCCTGCTTTCACGTCTGCAGCAAACTTAAAGTGTTTCTCATTAATCTCATTAATCGTTAGCATGTTTCCTTGTCTTGAAAACTAATCTTTTGCATCATTGGCGTTTTAGGCCACTTAAAAAGTATTTTTTAAATTTTGAGATAATTACAGCTTTACAGAAAGGCTCTGGAAATAGTACAAAGAACTCCCATATATTCTTTACTTAGAAATCTCTCTTCTCTCTCTGTACATATCTTTTTCTTTTTTCTCTCTCCATGTATTGTTTTTTTGAATCATTTGTGACAAAGTTGTAGAAGTGATGCTCCCTACCTCTAAGTTTATCAGTGGGTATTTTCTACATAACTTTATTAAAATTAGTAGAATCAGGAAGTTGACATCTGTAAAATGCTATTCTGTATCTATAGACTGTATTCATATTTCACTGATTGTCCCAATAAAGTCATTGATAGCAGAAACATCTTTTCTAGGGTACAAACCAGGATTTCACATTGTACTTAGTCGTATCTCTTTAGTTACCTTTAATATATTTAGCATGTCTTTGCTTTTCATGACCTTGATATTTTTGAAGTGTACAGCCTGGTTATTTTAGTTATCCTCGCTTTTGATTTGGTGATGTTTCTTTATTATTAAATTGATGTTACGCATTTTTACCAGAAATACATTTCAATACATCATATTAGGGCCACGTGATATCCATTTGTTCCATGACAGTTGGTGCTTTGATGATTTAAAGCGGTGTCTCTCAGGTTTCTACAATGTGAGCTTACTTTTTAAAATCTTATCAAGGGTATTTCAAGACTGTGTATATACCTTCTTCCTCATCAAATGTTTTTGTAGGTACTAGGTTTAAGCATCCAATGAGGGTTCTTACCAGAATCAATTATTGTTATATTTGGCACACAACATCTTTCTAACTCCATCATTTCTACATTTACTTGTTAACATTTTACTGTAAGAAAGAGCTTTTTCTTCTCTCCCATTTATTTATTGATTTATTTACTTCAGTATGAACTCATGGGTTCCTATTTTATTCAATGGGCTATAATAAATTATTATCAGTAATTGGTTTGGTGCTCAAATTTTCCCAGATTTGTTTAGTAGAAGCTCCTTCAAGCCGATTTTTAATAGAATTAGTTAACTTAAACAGGATGATCAATGAATTAAGGTATTTTCTATGGAATAATGAACACCATTAGCCCCATTATTCGCTAGTGGTTGGAGATCTATATGAATGTATAGATAAGACAGTACAGTATACGTATGCATATGGCATTCTGTAAGCATTACTGACAACTTTCATTGCTGTAATTTGTACTCACAAGCCACCAGTCAGATGATGATGAATGATTAATGAGCTCTCTTTTTAATCAAACATACAAGAGTATATCCAGTTTCAATGATTATAGTCAAAGTATTCAACTTGGGAGTCTATATTCATTCTAATGATTCTGGGCTTGCTGAAAAGATATTTTTAAAAGTTCAGGTAATAAGCCACACAAGAAAATTTGTTTTATTACTTTAGTGTCTCACCTGGGTTTGATCAAAAAGAGTATCATTCAGCAGGATCACCAAGTTATTCTCCATATTTGTATCTACTTATCTTTGGGCTCTTGAAAAAAATAAAAAGATGGAGATTTTCTTCAGATTGGTTCTTGATGGTTTTTAAATCTATTAAGCTGTAAGCTATTTTAGAACAGGTGTGTTTCATCTATCTATTTTTGCAATTGTGTACGCAGTGCCTAACATAGGGATTCCAATATATAACATAATCATATCTCAATAAATAATTTTTGAATGAGATTGAAATAGCCTCCATTTACTGATTGACTAGTGTGCGTGAAATATTGCACTAAGCATTTTACATCCTTAATACGTATACCATCTACATTAAGTCTCATACCAACCCTATGAGTAGTATTACCATTTCATAGATGAAGAATTTTAGATTCAGAGATGGTTACTTCCCCAAGGACACACGGTTAGTGATAAGTAGAACAAAGTTCAAACCAAATTTGATCTGATTCCAAAACCCTTATATATTGAGCTGTAGGCAATTCAATCACAGGCATTCTTGGAGATTTTCCTCCTTTGGGTTATTCAGAGGTCCTTTGAGACTTAAGTGGTGCCAACATATCAGACATTCCTGCCTCTGTGGAGCTTCCATTCAAAAAATGTCGATTGTCCAAGCCCATGTTTCTGATCCTTCAAGGTTCGACTCTATGGCTGCTGGGCCACATAAAGGGAAGGGGGTTTCTGCCAGAGCTCGGGTCCCTAGTGCTTCCGGTCCTGTCTCCTGCACAGCTGCCACCAAGTTTATCCCTAGACTTTTAGCCACATCCAGGAGCAATAGGAATGTCACATGCTGTATTTCCTCATTTCAAACAGCTGGTGCACGGCTCTTTCCCAGGTATGGAGAATTTTGCTCTTCTATTTCTCCTCCTCTTTCCACGCCTCTCCTCTTAGCCCCCATCCCCGGCATAATCTCTCAGGGCTCAAGTTTTCGGAAACAAAGCTAGGGATGGACAGTCCCACACAAACCTTCTGAAGCAAGAATGCATAAAAAGACCTATTATTTTCTTGGGTTGGGGCATGGGACTTGAATTAAGGATATTATTTGAATCTACATTAATTATACTCTCACACATGTTAGTACACACTGTCACACACAGAGTCCTATAGTAACTATGTTTAAACCATTGTTTTTGAATTTATTCTGCATAGTTTTTTGTCTAATAGCTATATACAATAATAGTAATAATACCATATGATATATGACTAAGTTATAAAATGAATGGTATAGGTTAGTGATTTTAAAACACTAGTAACACAACTCCTCCTTAACTAAAATTTTAGCAGAATTTTTAGCCGTATGTGTTAAAACAGGTACAAACAGTGCAGCTATTTTGGAAACTGAAGAAGCGCAGCTGCTTGGGCTCTTTCCTGGTGGCCTCTATTGTCACTTGAGCCACAAGAGCGTAATTTGAAAGTCACTGATTTCATTTGCTTGTTTCTGGAAGAATCTCTAGAGAGATCACAAAAACCGATGATATTAATTACCTGGGGGAAGAGAACTGAGTACTTGAGGAATAAACATAGGAAAGAGACTTTTACTATAAATGCTTTTGTAGCTTTTGAATTTTAAGCAATATGAATGTATTATTTATTAAATAAATTAAAAAGGAAAGTCCATTTAAAAGAGACACCCCTCCCCCACCCCAACACAGATATGGACGATAATAAGTGCTCAGATGGGGAGTTAATGTTATCTCTAAAGGTCAGAGAAATAAGACTTGAGCTGACCCTCAGGGGACCAGAAGATTGTAGACTGGGGAGAGGGAAGGACATTTCAATTAGGAACAGCATG